CCCTGATGGTTGTAAACCTTTAGGATGCAAATGGATCCTAAAGAAAAAATATAAAGATGATGGATCGATTGATAAGTTTAAAGCACGTTTGGTGGTCAAAGGCTTTAAACAAAACGAAGGGTATGATTTCTTTGATACCTATTCACCTGTTACGCGTTTAGCGTCGATAAGAGTGCTTCTCTCGATTGCTGCTTTGCACAATCTTGAGATTCACCAAATGGATGTCAAGACGGCATTTTTGAATGGTGAATTGGAAGAAGAAATATACATGGAACAACCTGAAGGGTTTGTTGCACCTGGACAAGAGAGAAAGGTGTGTAGATTGATCAAATCCTTGTACGGACTGAAACAAGCTCCGAAACAATGGCATTTGAAATTTGATGACGTGATGTTGACAAATGATTTCAAAATCAACGAATATGATAAATGTGTTTATGTCAAGGGCACATCAAATACATTTGTGATTGTATGTCTATATGTAGACGATATGTTGATCATGGGAAGTAGCCATGAAGTGATCATGGATACAAAAAGAATGTTGAAAAGAAATTTCGACATGAAAGATATGGGTTTGGCTGATATTCTTGGAATAAGGATTATCAGAACCCAAGATGGAATTGTCTTGTCACAATCTCATTATGTAGAGAAAGTGCTCAAGAAATTTGATACCTATGACGGTGCACAGTCTAGGTGTAAGACACCCCTTGATCTCAGTATAAATTTGGAATCAACAAAGGTCAACCAGTGGCTCAGTTGGAATATTCACGGATAATAGGGAGTCTGATGTATTTGACGAATTGTACACGACCAGACTTGGCCTATCCGGTGAATAAGTTGAGCAGATTTACGAGCAATCCCAGTCATGAGCACTGGAATGCTTTAAGAAGGGTACTTAAGTACTTGAGGTACACCCTTGAATACGGGCTAAAATACTCGACATATCTAGCGGTACTTGAAGGGTACTGTGATGCAAGCTGGATATCAGATTCGAAAGATTCTTGCTCCACTAGCGGATATGTTTTCTGTATTGGAGGAGGTGCAGTTTCGTGGAAATCCACAAAACAAACGTGTATAGCTCGGTCAACGATGGAATCGGAGTTCATCGCTTAGATAAAGCTGGTGAAGAAGCCGAGTGACTTAGAAACTTTTTATCCGATATTCCATGTTGGGATAAGACTTTGCCGCCTGTGATGATTCACTGTGATAGCCAAGCTGCTATAGGTAGAGCGCAAAGTAACTTGTATAACGATAAGTCTAGACATGTTCGTCGTAGACATAATACCGTACGTCAGTTGATTACAAATGGTGTTATTTCCATTGACTATGTGAAGTCTAAGGAAAATTTGGCTGATCCTTTGACGAAAGGATTGAATAGAGATCAATTGACAGTTTTGCTAGAGGGAATGGGCTTAAAAATCCACAATGTAAAGAATGATCATAGTGGTAACCCTACCATGTTGAGTGGAGATCCCACGAAATTGGTTCAAATGGAAAACTAAGCTATGAAAATTCAGTTGAGCACTTGGAACATATGAATGTCCAAAG